CTCTCCCCCACTGGTCACCAGTCCTCTCCCCCACTGGTCACCCGTCCTCTCCCCCACTGGTCACCAGTCCTCTCCCCCACTGGTCACAGTCTTCTCCCCCACTGGTCACCCTTCCTCTCCCCCACTGGTCACCAGTCTGCCTCCGCCCATTGTACCGGTGTGTGTAACTTACTATGTGTGTGTGTTCTGTGTGTGGGTGTGTTACTGTGTGCGTTACCTGAGGAGACCTGCTGGCTGACTTTAGACCAGGATCAGGAGAGTCCGATCCAGACTGCATCTAAGGAGAAAACCAGGTCAGCTCTGATTATTGGTCAATGGATCACCGCTGTACAGGACCAGGGCCCGTCTGGGGTACAGCGGTGTAACACACACACACCGGCCCACCGGTTCAACTGCTGGTTAACACCAGTTGCTAATCAGCCAATCACACGGCAGCACCTGGATGTGTGAAGACAAACCGCTGGAGGTCAAAGCGAGCATCAGAACGGGGAAGAACGAGGCTCTGAGTGACTTTAACGTGGATGCTTGTTGGTACCAGACGGGCTGGTCCGAGTCCGTCACAAGCTGCTCATCTACCGGCATCTAAACGGGGTTCACACAGGACGGCCCAAAAAGAGAAGGTTCCCAGTAAGCAGCAGCCTATCTGAGCATGTCCATCCCTTTAAGACCACAGTGTCCCATCTTCTGACGCACCGCGTCACAAAGCTCATATCATCTCAAAGATGACGATGACTTCGAAGTCTCCACATCTCAACCCAGTGGAGCTTCGGGACGAGCTGGACCGGGAGATTCTTCATAGACGTCCAGACAACCGCGTGATGGTGTCACGTCAAAACTCCTGTGAGGAACGTTTCCAACACCTCGGTGAAAGTACACCAAGGCGGTTCTGAAGAAGAAAGAGGTCCAACCTTCTACTAGCAAGGTGGAGCTGATGACGTGGCCGGTGAGTGTTATCCACCGTTTATCACAACAATGGGAGGAGCAGACAGACAGACAGACAGACAGACAGACAGACAGACAGACAGACAGACAGACCCAAATCAGTATGAGAACTAATGAAACACCGACACTCACTTCTCTTCTGCGTCTTTATTTCAGCTCGTTCTGCCTCTTTCCTGCTTCTCGGTTTTTCCGGTTCACATAAACCGTCGCGCAGCTCTGACGCGGCGGCGCAGCCCGATGACGTTTCTTACTCCAGGAAGCGGCTGTTAAAAAATAGAAGCTTCTTCTCAGGGTTTTCTTTCCATCCGTTCCACAATAAATGCTTGGTATTAAATTCTAATATTAAAAAATATTATATTCTACCACAAACACGTCGTAAGTCTGTACAATGTGCGTTGTCGTGGTCACTACGGTTGAATGAAACCTGCATGACGGAGAACGCGGTGAGCAGATGTAGTTTCATTGTGTGACCATGTTGGTACGAAGTTTCCTCCTCGCACCACTGGATCTACCAGCTCGGATCCTCGGAGGAACCTAGATGAGATAAAAGGACTCTTAGAGAGAACCAGTTACATCTGTAACTTTGGTTTCGCAGTTCTTGTGGGAGCTTTTCATTTGCAGTTATTATTGTTATTTTTTCTTAAATATTATTGTTTAGTTCTTTAGGTTTGATATAATATTAAGATAGATTTTTCTGTTTTTGTTGTCAATTTAGTTTAATCCGTTTTTGTTATTAAGTATACATAGTTTTGGTAAATTGTTTGGTTAACACTGGGCACCTGTAGGTTATTTAAGGGCATGGCCAGGTACAGGACCAGCATGCACCTGGGTGGGACCAGCATGCACCTGGGTGTTATATATTGTAAAAGAAACTAAACAGTCAAACAGTAAACATCAGTGGCCCTTTGACGTAATAATATATTGGTCCCATGGACAAATGGCCACTCCATCTTTTTATCAACAATTTAATCACCACAAATAGCAAAAAAATGTTTAACAAAGACAGGAGAAAAATATGAAACTATCAGAGGTTAATTAAACATTTTGAAACAACATGGGCAAAAAATAAAAAATGAAACATTTGGGTATAAAATTAGATAAAAGAAAAACATACGTTTTAGTTCTTACTATCTACACGTGTATCATTAACAAAGTGTTAAATATTTAATAAACACAATCATATGAATAAATACAGAGAAAGAAATAGACATTTTATCCATCCATCCATCTGCAAACCACTTATCCTGCCCACAGCGTCGCGGGGGGATGGAGTCTGTCACAGCCAACTTCAGGTGATAGACGGGTTCATCCTGGACTGGTCACCAGCCAATCACAGGGCTACACAGAGACACACAACCATTCACACTCACATTCACACACCTCCTCTAAACCTGATGCCCAGAGCAGGTCTCTGGACTGTGGGCGAAGCCGAAGAACCCGGAGAGAACCACACAGACACGGGGAGAACATGCAGACTCCACACAGAAGGTAGTAATAAGTAATTGGCCAACATTGAGCTCTTATTGTGAAAGGGCCATCTGAATTATTGATGTGCAGAATAATGTATGAAACGCTTGATTCTAGTGTTTCATCAACAGTAACAGCTTCAACTGGATCTCTGATGAATGTCGTACTTCAGGAATAAAACAGTATAAAAACATGAATATATTTCCTGAATATTCACAATATAACATGTAAACACATCGAAGACGTCCAAAAAAGGTTTCAGGATGTGTTTCAACTGTTTCAACTTCTCCAAAATAACAACAGAGTCTCATAATTATTCATGAGACGAGGACGCCATCTTTTTTTCTGTGCTTTAAAACACATTCACTTTGGATCTGCCTGTCCACCTGTCTGTCCACCTGTCTGTCCACCTGTCTGTCTACCTGCCTGTCTACCTGTCCTTGGCAGAGCGCAGGTCCGTTGTGATTGGGTCGTGTTGGATGGTCTGGTGAAGCATCAGAGCCAATAATCCGGCTCGGTTCGTCATCGCCGTCCTCAGATTCCTCTCCTGCTCAAACAGCTCGTCCAGCTTATACCACTAAGAGACAGACAGAGATTCAAAGAAGGAGACAAAAAGGCAGACAGGGACAGAGAGACAAGCAAATGGTAAGAGAGACAGGCGCAGGGTCAAAGAGACACACATGTAAGGGGAGACAGGGACAGAGATGATCGTCTATAGCAGTGTCCCCAACCGGACCGGTTTCTTGTTCGACAGTCTCCGGTTGGAAACGTGTCCAGAGGGACAAGCGCATGTGATCGGAGAGAATCACGTCATTTTGTTCTTCCTTGTCTGCGTCCCGGTGGTTGGGGACACTGGTGTAGAGGACATCTGTCCCTCCTGTGAGCTGCTTGTGTTGTTGGTCCTTTACCACGCGGACTCTCTCAAGGTCCACTTCGGCTCGCCGCAGCTTCTCCCAACAATAATGTTTGTTACATTTTCTCTTTGAGAGACGGCAGAAGTCTCCAGTGGGCTGGAACACGTCTCTCACCAGAGGACAACCACACACCTCGTCTGCTGGGACCTGACAGGCAAACAGGAAGACGGACAGACACTTTGTTTGCGATATTGTTGTTATCTCCCCGCCTGTCGGTGTGGCGTACCTTTGGGTCTCTGGAGTGCTCGGGACAGAGGACCTGCAGCCGCTTACAGTAGGTCTGACTCTGCAGGTTGTAGACGTCACAGAACAAGCGCGTCGCCCTGGAACACACAGGCAAATGAGAGAGAGACGGCTCGATGTCCCAGAGCAGAGAGACAGACAGACACGTCTTCTTACCCCTCAATTCGCGTTGGGTACATGGAGCCAAATGATGTCTGACTCTCATACTGTTGAGAGAGACAGACAGAGACACAGAGACACAGAGACATGTGGACATAAGAGTCAAAGTACTGATTAGTCTGTGATGGTATTATGGGATGTCTGTGATGGTATTATGGGATGTATGTGATGGTATTATGGGATGTATGTGATGGTATTATGGGATGTATGTGATGGTATTATGGGATGTCTGTGATGGTATTATGGGATGTATGTGATGGTATTATGGGATGTCTGTGATGGTATTATGGGATGTATGTGATGGTATTATGGGATGTCTGTGATGGATCCATAAACAGGAACCAGCTGACCTTAGCGTAGCATCGCTCCATGTGTCTCAGCGCCACTTTTGGATTGACGGGGTGACTGCAGGAAACACAGAAGACCTGGTGGTCTGTGTCCTCTCCGTCCCCTTCAGTCACCTGGAGGGAGGGGAGACCGGGAGGGAGAAAAGGAAGGAGACAGAAGGATAGAGGGAGGGAGACAGGAGAAGAAACAGACAGACGTGTCAGAGACAACTGAGAGCTCGTCTCAGTTGTCTCTGACACGTCTGTCTGTCTACAAACTGTATGTCTCCTGTCTCACCTCCTCGTGCTGTTGGACCTGCTGCTGTTTGGCGTTGGCGATGATGCCTTCAAGCTCGTGGAAGCGTTTCTCCATCATCGTGAGGCGGAGCCTCGACGCCTGCTGCTCCTTCCTGATTCGCTCCAACTGTCTTCGCCCCATTTCCTCGGCAACGCACGGACTCTGCTGCCACTGCTGGATCCTCTGTGGGAGGATCTCATAGATACGACTGAGAGACAGACAGGGACACCGGCAGGGAAACAGACCGAGACAAGGAGACAAACAGAGAGACAGAGGAACAGGAAAACAGAGACAGACAAAGACAGAAGGACAGGGAAACAGAGAGAGAGAGAGACATTGTTTACAAGAAGGCTCAGTGGAAACAAACTCCCTTTCATTGCACGAAACCAGGATAAGGGATTAAGCCGGGATATTCATGTTATCCTGGATGAATGTAGCCTTGACTTACAAGAAAGCAGGTTGAATTAAACGCAGCCAAGTAACCGTGTTGATTTATTCTTTGCAGCTCGCCTGCTCCAGACCGGGCTAACAGCCGAGCTAACAGCCGAGCTAACAGCCGAGCTAACAGCCATTGTAGTATGTGTACGTGTACATGTGTTTATTTGGTACTTAGTCACTGCGGCCTTTGCACTAGTCTCCATTTTTATCTTCATTTTTATTTCACTTAATTTGATTCTTATTCGTGTCTTTTTTTATCATCATGATGCTGCTGCCCTTGTTTTTCACCATGTATCTTGTGTGCACTGTCACTTGGCGGCCGCGGTCTGGAATTTAAAGGAATATCTTATCTTATACTATTGCAGTTGTTTAGTGGTGGGGGGGCGTGTCCGGGAGGGGGCGTGTCCGGGAGGGGGCGTGTCCGCTGGTGGGAGAAACTGCGGTGAGAATTGTAAACGTGATGAGGGCGATACCTAAATGCCATCACCGGTTCCTTCCTGCACCATGAAGCCCACTTGTGAACCTGCTGTTGATGATGATAAATGGTGATTGTGTTTGATGTCCTGGAGCATGTGGCATGTATGAAGGGGGCACACGGTCAGTATCTGTGCCACCCTGAATCCCCCCATCACAGGCTGCCTGCTTTAAAACAAGGACCAACTCCTCAGCTGGGCTGAAGCCTGCGGCTGGTGCCCCCCTTCTTCTTAACTGCTAAAATTACTTTAGATCAAATATGTGAGCAGGCGTCTTGTAGGTCATTTCTACGCCATGTGTAAGGCAAAATGGTTCTATATTTTATCTCGACCTGTGGCAGGATCTTTTTTGTCCAGTCGTGTTTGTTCCGTATGAACATTAATTGTATATTAAGATATTTGACACAGCTTATAGGGAATTTTCCTGTAAGTAAATACTTTTAAATCTTTCCGCATTCAGTCGGTCAGCGATTTCTCTGTTTAATTGCAGGTGCGTTTTTCCTTTTTTTGCTTCACCTCCTCAGAAGTTTCCATAATTAGTTGCTGCTCAGCAGGTGAAAAATATTCCGTGCGTGTCTTCTCCATCTGTGCATCAGTAGATCTGTGATGGACCCCGTGGTCTACTTAAGAAAGCCGTGACCGTGCACTGATCCAGCTGTGTGCAGCTGTATGGACTAAGCTCCTGCTCCTCATCGCGACTTTCTCACTTATCCAGGATTCCTTTATTCTACTTTTGTGCAATAACCCTGTTTGTGTCATTGTTTTATACTTCTTTGTGTTTGTCACCTGTTTGTGTTGTTGTTGACTTGTTTGTCTGTTGCATGTGTACAAACTAAAGCCCTCTGAGGCAAATGTATCATTTGCGATTTTGGGATCTACAAAATAAAATGAATGTAATTTGATTTAATTGTGACTTGTTCAGGTTGTTGTTGACCTGTTTGTGTTGTTGTTGACCTGTTAGGAAAGGGACTCACTTGGCTGCGAGCTTCATGCCGCAGTCGTCAGAACAGTATTTTGAGTTTGTCCTCGTTGGTACGACACATCCTGGTCCCAGACACTGGCGCATCGCTACGCCTACCTCCTTAGTCCCGCCCTCTCCCCCTCGCTCACTGTGACGGACGCGCTCCTTGTGGCGCTGCTTGGCTTTGTGACGGCGAGGCTTCGCCTCCTCTTTCGGACCAGAGACAGACTTCTGTAGAGGAGGACAGGTGTGTTGGTGAATAACTACACACCACCAGGGAGGGTAGACGCTGAAATATCAGAAAGCAACAAGCAGTGATCACATCCGACTAATGATGAGGGGCATCATCATTATATACACGTCCTCTTCTCACTCAGAAGGTACTGATTCAGGCTCTTGTCGTCTCCCTCCTGGACTACTGTAACTGTCTCCTGCAGGTCTCCTGCTACCACCATTCCACCTCTGCAGCTCATCCAGAATGCAGCAGCTCCACTGGTCTTTAACCTTCCTAAGTTCTCCCTCACTGAGAGCAAAACACTTTGGATAAAAGCGTCAGATAAATGACGTGTGATGGAATCATTAGTGTGAACCGTCCTCACCTTCTTCTCCGTCTTCTTCTCTGGCCTCCTGACATGTTTCACCTTCACCGCCTTCTTTCTCAGAGAGTCCGACTGCGCGTCCTCTTCCTCGCTGTGCCACACCTGCAACAATTCAATTCCATTCATTTTATTTTGCACAGCCCACAATCACAAATTAAAAAAGTAGTAAAAGATCAACAATACATTCAATTCATATGACAGAAATGATTCAAATAATGTGAGTAGTAAGCAGGTATACGACAGGACCACTGCAGGGCCCACCACTATCACATAGAACCACCATCAGATAGAACCTCCATCAGATAGAACCACTATCAGATAGTGGTTCTATCTGATAGTGGTTCTATGTGATAGAACCACCATCAGATAGAACCTCCATCAGATAAAACCACTATCAGATAGAACCACTATCAGATAGAACCACTATCTGATAGTGGTTCTGATAGAACCACTATCTGATAGTGGTTCTATGTGATAGAACCACTATCACATAGAACCACCATCAGATAGAACCACTATCAGATAGTGGTCCTATGTGATAGTGGTTCTATCTGATAGTGGTTCTATCACATAGGACCACTATCTGATAGTGGTTCTATCTGATAGTGGTTCTATCAGATAGTGGTTCTGATAGAACCACTTTCCCCTCTTTCTATGTGATACAACCACCATCAGATGATAGTGGTTCTATCAGAACCACTATCTGATAGTGGTTCTGAGAGAACACGTTCTGATAGAACCACTATCAGATAGTGGTTCGATATGATAGTGGTCCTATATGAGAGCGATTCTGAAAGAACAGGATCTGATAGAACCACTATCAGATAGTGGTTCTCTTCTGATAGAAGGATCTACCTGATAGAAGCCACCATCAAAAAAGAACCCTCCATCAGATAGAACCGCCTTCAGATAGGAGCCCTCATCAGAGAGGGGTTCTTTGTGATGAGACCCCCTTCTCACCTGGAAGCCCCCATCAGAAGAGGACCCCCTCTCATATAGAACCCACCATTAAAATGGGATCCCCATTCAGATAGAACTCCTTATCAGACAGTCGTTCTATCTGATAGTGGTTCTGATATAACAGGTTCTGATAGAACCACTATCAGATAGTGGTTCTATCTGATAGTGGTTCTATCACATAGAACCACCATCACATAGAACCTCCATCAGATAGAACCACGATCAGATAGAACCTCCATCAGATAGAACCACCATCAGATAGAACCTCCATCAGATAGTGGTTCTATGTGATAGAACCACTATCAGATAGTGGTTCTATGTGATAGAACCACTATCACATAGAACCACCATCTGATAGAACCACCATCAGATAATCAGATCAGATTCTGATAGAACCACTATCATCTGATGGTGGTTCTATCAGAACCACTATCTGATAGTGGTTCTGATAGAACAGGTTCTGATAGAACCACTATCAGATAGTGGTTCTATCTGATAGTGGTTCTATCACATAGAACCACCATCACATAGAACCTCCATCTACAGAAAGCAGTGGGGAGGGAAATCGCTTCAGGAAGGAAGTGAAGTCGGTATCGTTGGTTTATTATGACAGCGCCACTAATGTGATTAATATTTATAATAATGATAATAGCAGCAGGTGTCAGCAGGGCCATGGAAGGAATCAGGTCCAGAAATAAACATGACAAAAACGAGAAAGGACAAAAACTCCATGGAAGAAGCCGAATCAGTGATGTGCATCAATGAGATGTGAATGATTGTAGAAAGAGAGAGAGGGGAAATCTCCTGAATTAAGGCCTGAACGTCTCTAGCTTTATCTTTAATGAGGCGACGGTGTCTGCATTCCTGCAGACTCATAGGTTTGAAAAAGGCATCAATGGCGCCGCTAAATGACAACATGGCCTTGTTTGCATAACTGCAGCTTTGCATGTGGGCGATTCATTTTCAGTGTGGACATGGAGACGTGTTTGGTCTGTTCCGGCAGCTGGTTGGTAGGACACGTACTGACCAAGTCTCTGTATCCGGCGGCCTTGTACTGCTCATAGAGCTCCAACTCGCTCTCGCTGAAGGCCACCTCTTCATCCTCATCCTCCTCGTCCTCCTCTGTCTGATGACCCGCCTCTTTCCTTGTCAGGCCACGCCCCCTGACGCAGCTGCGACTCATCTCCTCCTCTTTGACGCGAAGCATCTTCTACTCAGAGATCAATAACTAATCAATACTACACCACAATAAGTTGTGGACAGAATGACTCATATCTATAAAACAAATTTAATATCTGTATGATCAAATTAATTATATGAATTTATGATCTTAGTCACTTGGATGAAGACAAAGTATCAGAACAAAGAAATGGAAGAGACCTGTCAGTCAATAACATCATGCTGTATTGAAGAAGACTTGAAAATATTGAGACCATGAAGTCGTGTTTACAATGTTTACTGAGGGAATAAATCAAGAGAAGTAGTTTTCTCATAGACGTCTATGGCCGTGGTCCACAGCCTTTTTTACCTCACAGACCGTTTTCATGTCAGACAATATTTCGCGGACCGGTCATGAAGAATAACGGGGGTAGTAGTCGTTGCATGCATACATATAGATATAATGTATTTAAATATATTATGTCTGTGAACCTGAGACTCACCCGAGCTCGGACCTCACACTGTCGCTGACGACACTTCTGTCGGATCTTATTTGGACCTCCGAACTTCTTCATGTCTTTACAGAAGTCGCACAGGGCGCAGTCCTCCGTCCTCAGGCATGCGTCACACTCCCCACACATCCGGGCCGAGCGCTTGATCTGGAATACAGGCATGAAAACACAAATCACACCAGATAGATTAGACACCTCTTTGCCAGGCATCTGAAAATGGCCGTGCACCGACGCTCCCCATCCAACCTGATGGAACTTGAGAGGTTCTGCAAAGAAGAATGGGAGATCCTGCCCAGAAATAGATGTGCCACGCTGGTGGAATCATCCCCAAGAAGACTTGAGGCTGTAATTGCTGCCAAAGGTGCTTCAACAAAGTATTGAGCGAAGGCTGTGAATATTTAGGTACAATATTCATTGTCATTGTTTTTACAATGATTTTCTATGGATCAACTCTAGATCAGAAGGTTGGCAGGTCGATCCTCATTGTCCATGTTGATGTGTTGAACTTTGAAAGACGTTCTGCTTCCTCTTACCTTCAGTTACAGACATCATACCAGCTTTAAAATGTGGACAAACCCTTACCATTACTAAACTATTACTGAATGATGCCATTTTTTATATATGTTACACTTTTTAAACTATTACCGTTTTATGCTTATTTCTTTGGTGCTCCTTTTAAATATGGAAACCATTTAAATGACAGGTTACCTGTGGAACCCTGGATCCCTTGTTGGTTAACAGGTTACCAGGATACCTGTGGAACCCTGGATCCCTTGTTGGTTAACAGGTTACCAGGATACCTGTGGAACCCTGGATCCCTTGTTGGTTAACAGGTTACCTGTGAGCCGCGCCGGTTGTCAATCCTGGCATTGGGAGTGGATCTCCCGTCTCCCGTCTCTAATTCTTTCTCCTCCATGGTCTTCTTCAGACGGTATTTAATCTCCAGAGATGCGTCTTTTGTCTGCAGGGAACAAAATACAAGTCTAACACACAGCTAAAGGCTAACACAGAGCTAACACAGGGAAATATACAGCTAACAGCTAACTAACACACAGCTAAAGGCTAACACAGAGCGAACACAGGGAAATATACAGCTAACAGCTAACTAACACACAGCTAAAAGCTAACACAGAGCGAACACAGGGAAATATACAGCTAACAGCTAACTAACACACAGCTAAAGGCTAACACAGAGCTAACACAGGGAAATATACAGCTAACAGCTAACTAACACACAGCTAAAGGCTAACACAGGGAAATATACAGCTAACAGCTAACTAACACACAGCTAAAGGCTAACACAGAGCTAACACAGGGAAATATACAGCTAACTAACACACAGCTAAAGGCTAACACAGAGCTAACAGCTCACACAGACGATTTTCTTCACTGACCTCGACACAACGGACAAAACCAAACTCTAATGGATTTAGCTGCCTTCTCTGAAACTCCAACACAGCGTCCATGAAACCACTCAGTGCAACAGTCACAGCCTCTGGCAGACATACAGGTAGAGAGACAGACGTGTAGAGGGACAGGCAGGTTGAAGGACAGATAGGTAGAGGGACATACTTGCAGGTGGAGAGACGGACAGACAGGTGGAAGGACAGATAGGTAGAGCGACGGACAGAGGGAAAAGAGACGGACAAGTAGAGGGACAGACTAGTTAGTGTAAATGTTCTGAAGACTGATGCTTCGTATGTTGATAAACTGGAGTTGTTTACATCATGAAACAGTTGATTTCTGGTTTCCTGCAGACACAATAAAGTGGACCTTTAGGGATCTTCATGAAAACCTTTCCTTCATCTGCACTTCCTCCAACTCCTGCATCTACATCTACATCTTCAGCTCCATCTCCTGTTCCTCCTCCAACTTCATTTCCCCCTCCACCACCTTCAGCTCTGCCTCCTCCTCCACCATCCTCCGCCAGCCTTCCCTCAAGTCCTGCAGCCTCCTCCGACTGAGAAGAAACAAGAGAAACACAAGAAGATATCAACACGATATTGATAGGGCAGGGGGACATTGACCCCATAATGACCCACAGAAAATGTCGTGACAATCGGATATAGAGTTTAGGAGAAATGGCCGAAAACGTGTTTTTCACTAAATTCAAAATGGCGGAAAATCTAGCATTTGCATAACATGATTGACTTTTTAGTACAGCATGTCCAAGAGCACATGTTGATTGGACATTGGGGGGGAAACTGGCCTAGTGAGGTACTTTTTTACCTCTCTAGGGGGCGCTATGGAGACATTTCTTCGTACCCAAATGCGAAACCCCCAAAATATCAAATTTTTCACAAGTTCTGATAAGCCTGCCAAATGTAACAACTTTTGGAATATGATAAAGGCCTCAAAAACGCATTTGATTTGTGAGAATAATAATAATAATTCTATGAAATACAATAGGTTCCTCTACGACTAGTAGTTGCAAGGACCCTAATTAGAGCAGATCAAAGGAAAACCACATCAGACCAGGTCTACATGAAAGACCACTTGTGTTATAAAACAAAGACTAACATCAGGAATCAGGAAACATTTATTGCCATAACATGTCAGACGGGAATGTGCGGTTGGTGCGTAACAGCAGGCAGTACGACAATGGACGACAAGACAACAGTGCACAAGGAATGAAATATAATACTATGGGTTATTAGTATAATGCTATGGGTTAGTAGTATAATCCTATGGGTTAGTAGTATAATGCTATGGGTTAGTAGTATAATGCTATGGGTTAGTAGTATAAGGATATGGGTTAGTAGTATAATGCTATGGGTTAGTAGTATAAGGCTATGGGTTAGTTTAAAAATAAAAGGAATACAATTTAAAAAGTTAAAAATATTAAAAAATGAATTAAGTGCACCAGCGAACAGAAAGGGACAAGTGAAAGTGAGAAAGAAAGTGACCGGTGGGACGTCAGAGGCCGTCAGTGGGGGGCCGGCTCTGTTGATGAGCCCGACTGCCGACGGGAAGAAACTGTTTGTGTGGCGGGAGGTCTTAGTCCTGATGGACCTCAGCCTGCCAGATGGAAGGGGGCAGGTCTACAGATGTAAATGGACTGCACTACTACTTTTCTAGTCTTCCGACCACTCAAAGCAACACTAGCTGACATCATTCACCCATTCACACACTGATGACAGCAGCTACCACACACAGAGCCACCTGCCCACCAGTAACTCACATTACATTACAGGTCAGGTCATTCACACTGAAGTCACAGCTACAGCAGCAAGGTTGGGTTAAGTGCCTTGCCCAAGGACACATCAACCTGCGGGTTAGCCGGGCCTGCGATCGAACCGCCAACCCTCTGATCAGAGGACGACCGTGTTCCCCACTCACCCACAGTCGGCCAACAGATACCACTGGTCTGGTCTAGTCTTACTAAACGTTTTTATTGTCATTTGTCATTTTTATTGTTTTATTGTACTGTCACGTCCACCCCGTCACGCTCACCATGTCACGTTCACTGTCACGCTCACCCTGTCACGTTCACCCCGTCACGCTCACCCCATCACGTTCACTCTGTCATGCTCACTGTCACCCTCATCCTGTCACATTCACTCTGTCATGCTCACTGTCACGTTCACCCTGTCACGCTCACCCTGTCACGCTCACCCTGTCACGTTCACCCCGTCACGCTCACCCCATCACGTTCACTCTGTCATGCTCACTGTCACGCTCATCCTGTCACATTCACTCTGTCATGCTCACTGTCACGCTCACCCTGTCACGTTCACCCCGTCACACTCACCCTGTCACGTTCACCCCGTCACACTCACTCTGTCATGTTCACTTTCCCCGGTCCACGGTCAAAAAACCATTTCGCTTCCCACAAACACCAACATCTGTGCCAGGTAATCCACCAGATTATATTGACCTTGGCCTAATTGAAACCCAACCTCCCACCACCGAGGTGAGGGGGTGGGTGGTGGAGCTAACAAGCAAACAATAACAAACATGGCGCTTACACCCCTACTGGTTTTTACACCTACTGGTCTCACAGCAGCAAGAAGTGTCCACCTCTGGTCCCTGATTCGTCACATTCACAAAGATAATGGTGAAAAATCTTCAAAACGCATCACACATCCTTGCAGCGTTTATCACGTCACAGCCACGTATGAAGACATTATTTAACAAAAGGGTTAGTATATTAAAGGAAAGATCATAACGACCTGGATTCGAGCCCTGTGGGACAAAACATCAAAGCACCACACTGAGGCGGAACATCTGCTGCTGTGGAGTAAACACCAACACGCACGCGTGCGTGAGACCAGTAGGTGTGAAAACCAGTAGAGGTGAAAACCAGTAGAGGTGAAAACCAGTAGGGGTGTAACACCGGACTCTTGTACCAGTCGGACTCCGCTGCACTTCACACGTGTGGCATCGTAACAAAAGAGAAAACTTGGTTTCACGTCACTGTCCTTAAATACATGGTTTTTAAATTGAAGGCTGGTCAGTCAGTGCGTTTTTCCAGGGCCAAACGAGACTCCGTTCACTTCTCCTCAAATTCTCTGTCATGTGCGTGATGCTGCGGGTTCAAAGGCTCCAGCTGCTCCGTCATTGTCCTCCATCAGTGAAACATCTGTCTGTGAAGAACTACAAGAAGAAAACTCACCATGAGGAAGCTGCAGCTGCTTCAGACGCAAAAGAAGAAACGGTCCTCCGGTGGATCCGCACCAGACGGGTTACGTTTCACTCATTTTTCATTCAGAACAAAATCAGTTTAAAGTCTCTTTGTTTCCGCTGAATCTGCATCGTGTTCTTCTTCTGTCCGCTGAATTAAAGCGGCGGGACTGAGATGGAGGCCACTGCTGCGGCGCTCCCTGTTGGATGGAGACGGAATTACATCCTCTACATTTAGAATAATATTATATCAGAATGATATTAACAATATTAGACAATAATATATGTATGATAATGTATATTTATGTATAAAATATGCATTATAAACAGTCATAACAATAATATTATAAATGATAATATTAAGGTGGCGGGCCAAACTCCGTAGAATAGGGGGTCCCTGCTCCACCTTGCTATCAGTTTGGGGGTCCTTGGCCTGAAAAACGTTTAGGACCCCTGCACTAAATAAAAACGGAGAATATATGTAGTAATATAAATAAAATATGATAATAAACACACACACACGTTAATAATTATAGAAATCAATATATAAAAATAATAATAAAATAAAAAAGTTGACTCCATCATTGACTCCAGCAAAACAAATCTTAATTCAAAAATCATTGTTAGGAAAAAATATTACTTCAATTAATGTAATAATATGACATATCATTATTAATATAAACACATATATATTGGCCTCCATGCTGTATACACAGGAGTTATTACCAGAATGATCATTACTAATATTGTGCGTAGAGATTCGGCGGTATGCGCTCCCAACATAGCGGCATACTGCAGAGAAGAACAACGAGGAAAGAAAGAAGCAGAAAGAGAAGAGAACGATTTTTGGGTCAGAAACTTGCGTTATGTTTTCTTTAGAAACACAAATAAATATTTCTGTTATTTGTTTGTTTTTGAGCTTCTGATTATGACGTCATTATCATTAGGATGATTAATAATTAATGATTGTTTTGTTTTTATTTTCACTCTTAATTTCGTGCAGCTGCTGATCAGTTTATTAATAAAGGTACACAAGTAAACGTGAACAATAAAACATGAAATACATTTGAATAAATCAGAGTGAATTTATTGGTCTGTGTTTGTAGTATTAAGTATTGATTTCCATACACATATCTAAGATATTATTCTCTGCCTGATAATATTGAATTGCTATTTTTATTATTATCATTACTAATGTAATTACTATTATACTTATATATACTTTATTTTAAGTAAATTAGTTTTACCGATGTCATATATGAGGTTGAATTGGTCGATGTGACATCAGACATCACTGAAAGCAGAACTGAAGAAAACCTGGTCCAATCAGAAGGCAACAGCCAATTGGAAGCTCCTCCATCACAGCACAGGTGGAGGTGGAAATGAGTGGATTAAGCTTGTGAGAAATCAAAAGTATCTTAAACTTGTTTGTCGTTCCACTACTTCACGTGCCCAGCGGCGTGTACCTTCCACACCTGCTTTTTGTTGAGGATGTGTTGGGGTAAGCGAGAGACAGTCACTATGTGGTTGTCATTGGACTGCTCTCTGGCCTGTGCATTGCAGAGACCAGCTGATCCTCAGCACAACGCCTTTTCGTTTATTTATTATTTGAACTTTTCAATGCAAGATGTCCTTTGTTCATGTGGAGTTTCATGTTTGAACACAGCAGTATCTAGTTCTGGGTTAGTGGGTACTGATGTGTTCTAGCTGTACCGGCTTTCTGCAAACAGACACACGCTGGAAACAGGGATATTTTCTACACACTTTGGGTTAATAAAGATAAATGTAAATGAGTCACTTTGTATTTACTTCATGGACGAGGTAAAGAATGCACAGATGTGTAAACTATAATTAAACCAACCAGGTGTAAAGCTTTTCACTATTCCTCCTGTACTACCTACTGCAGTTGGAATGTATCCCAGCATGCACTGGGGTACACGCACTTTAAGGAGGTCAAGTCTATTTTTCATAATACCATAAGTCTTGGTTTATTTACATTTATTGAATGACTTGATCCAAACCTTTATTTTGTTAACAGCAAGTTGCCTTGAGAATAAAATGTATCGTTGTTGTCATAAAAAAACAGAACAAAACACAAAGGACGAAAATATATTACAATTAAATGACTTTATTTCTATACAAGTTGAATCTATAAATCCAAATGAAACTGAAACAAACACATTAACATAAATCCCTTCATGAGGACAGTTCTTTTAATCTCAACGCTACGCCAACAAGTTAAAAGCTAATCTGATAACGAACCTACAGCTAACGGTTAGCTGCAGATGCTAACTGTTAGCATCTGTACGAACTAAATCTGCACATTGAGATTTTGAAATTGGAAGTTATTGGAATAATATGAGAATGTAAAATCTGTTTCCTCTGAAGAGCAAAGACATAAAAGATCAGACGGATCAATAATCAACCTGATTGGAATTATCTTTGTGATTTTTGATCTCCAAACGTCAAACTGATCGACCGCTTAAAACAGCTACTGTGACAACATCGTGGGGCCGTGATGTGAACTTTGTCTTCATCAGCAGCTCATTGCAGACAGGAAGTGGCCGTGCGTAAAAAATGAAAGTTTCTACAAATACGAGGGTCTTCAGCCAATCATCTGTCAGCTCTCTTGCTGTCCGCCATCAGAGGTCCTCGTCCATGCTGGAGCTGCTCCTCCTCCTGCTGGTCTTTGAGGGTCCACCGGACAGCAGGGGGTCCGCCCTCCTGCCCTCCTCCATCAGGATGTCTCCCAGACCCTGAAGCTCCGTCAGCTCTGCCAGCTCCGCCTCACACATCAGGTCCGAGGAGAAGACGGCCAACGCCCCGTGAGGCTCATCCAGGTCCACGAAGGTCAGGGCGTCCAGCCCCAGAGCGGGAGTCACGAGGGGAGGAGAGGAAAAGGGGTGAGGCATGGAGCTGGAGGAGGAGGTGGGCATAGGGGAGGAGGAGAGATTGTGGACACGGGTCTGAAGCTCCAACTCCTACAAGGAGGAAACAAAAAAGCTTTGTCATTGTTGCTATTGTTCGTTTTAATACTGTGGCCATTATTAATACTCTACAATACCGCAGTTAT